GCAACCACAGCCATAATATATTCCCAGATGGAAGACCCTTCCCTCATTATCCTGGCTGGAGGAGAAGGAACTTTGTCTATCTGTTCCATACATTTGGTTAGTGCTGTAATGTACTCAGTTTGGTTGATGCTGCAAAGCTTATATTCACTCATTTTTTCTAGTATCTTTCATTAAAAGTCCTTGAAAAGGATTCCACACTTCTTGAATGGGGACCCCGAATTCGTTGCCCATTTTTTCAAAGAGGCCACCAGGTGTTCTATTAATCTGCCAGATTTGGAAATTGTGTATTACCAGGAGATCTTTTTTAAGTCTGCATTCACAGAACTACCACTGAAGAAAATTAATTTCCTTTCAGTGGTACTCAATACAATTTTCCAGGAAAACACAGGGTCTGAGGTCAGTCAGATGACCTGCTGGCCAGTCGCTGCCTCTTCAGATTCTCAGATTTTATAGAGAGCACAAAGCTGCGTATGTTCACATCAGTTTAATGGCACAGCAATTCTTAACTCTGGGGAGAAGGCAAAAACTGTCATTGACCATGTAGTACTGTTCTATTCACAGATGCTGATTTTCAGTATTTCCAGCTGTGAGTATGTAATGCTCGGGCTATTTCTGGCACAGGCTACATACTAAATCTTAGAATCCTAATTTAGCTTGAGAAAATCAGTATTGTCATCAACATTAGCATGAATAATAATAATATTGTCCCTAATTTTACATAAAGGTGATATTATTTACCTACCTCAATCAGCTGGAAGACAAATAAACAAACGTATATGAAGGGCTATGGGGTATGAAGCATTATATCTTCTTGCTACATTGAAGGTAAACTTAAAATGCCTAAAAGGTAACGCCATCCACTACATAATCCTAATTACTCAACATAATGTAATTTCTTTGCAAAGAAGTAAGTGCCTTGGCAAATGCAGTCTTCCTTAAATCAGTGAAATGTGGGACACCTTTCTGACACCTTTGGGAAAAAAAAAATAAAAATGGGAGTAAATGCATTGTAAAAGTGCTCCCCAAACACCTGCCAGACAACTGAAGGACAAGTCTGAACTGCACAGTTTGATTAGGCAACCCAAGAGTCACAAAGATACAGGTTCTGTAAAAATAATTTCTTGTAGCTAGACCCAAAGGAAAATATATGACAAGTTCATGTTCTGTTTCAGGTCAGTACTATCAAACAATTGGACGATCTTCAGTAATTTTTTCAGTCAACACTGCAAATATCACTCTTGGCAAACACACCATGGCAGTATCCATTTACAGGAGAGGGCACTCAACATACGTTCCCATTGCAAGAGCAAGTACCACTTACGTTGTAACAGGTGAGTGTGCTGAAATACACTGCAACAAAATACTGGGAGCATTTGTTGTTTCGCTGTTAAAAGAAAGAATTCACCACAAACATAATCTGGCACGCAAAGAATGCATAGCCTGAGAAAGGTTTTTAATACAAATGTGATATCTCTAGCAAATTCCCTAAAATAATGTAATTAATCTCTGTAACTATCTCAGTTGTGACATCTCTACTTGATGTGATTTACTGGAGGAAATGCAATTTTCCACTGATGCCTGTGATTCCTTATTTGTCCCCATACCTCTCTGGATAACTGTTTGCCACTGACTTGGAAGATCAGTAAATCAAATTAAACTAGAAACCCACGTTAGAGATACTAATGTCTCACATTCTGACTCTTGTTCAGGAGCTTTGGAGCTGTTTGTTGTTTGGAGGCAGATACGTGCACTTTACTCACTTTCTTTCTTTCTTTCTTTCTTTTTTCTGGCAGACAAAATTCCACTGTCTGTGAGCTTGTCCCAAAAACATGACCGTAACATCTCAGACTCCATTTTTATCAAAGACTCACCAATCACATTTGATGTGAAAATCCATGATCCCAGCTACTACCTTAATAATTCCGCCATCTCCTACAAGTGGAATTTTGGAGATGGAAGTGGCTTATTTGTAGAAAGCAGTGCCACCACATCTCACACCTTTGCTCTGCAAGGAAACTTCACTCTCAATTTAACTGTTCAAGCTATTATACCCGTGCCTTGCAAGCCAGTAACACCCACTCCATCATTGCCCACCCCAGCAGGTAAGAGTTTATCTATCAGCAGTGAGGATCTATACTAAATCTCTAAATCATTAAGTACATGTATTCAGAACTTTTGGTTTACCAAAAAAGTTCTGTGAAGTCTGCAAGCTTCACAAACTGGCTTAGAGACAGAATCAATACACACACAGACATCATATACACATATTCAAAAAACTAATTTCCATTTCTCACCACAATGACTTAAAGGGGTCTTCACATAGACCCAAGCATATATACATCTGTTTTCATATCCTCCACTACACCAGATCGAGTGGTTGTGGTCTTGCCCACTCAAGAGGCATCTTTTGAGGTAAGATGTAAATTTTAAGTGAGGAAGAAGTATTTCAGAGCCAGTTCCTTTCTGGTTTGCATTAATCTCCACCCAAAATTAAATGAGATTGGATTGAACTAGAAAAACATTTACACATATTTCAAAATATGGGATTTCCACATTGCATTAAGCCAAGAAGGGCTTTTTCATTTTAAATTTATGCACAACTGTATTTCAGAATAATCTTCATGACGGTCAGCATTTTTTTAACATATCAAAGGATTTTAAAGTTTGCAAAAGGCCTGCAGTTTCAGCCTGGGTAACTATATAACACTACCAGTGTCAAATTGTAAATCTGGCTATATTTTTCAAATTTCACATTTTTATGTGGTTTTAATGAAATATGAAGTGAGAATTAAAAAGCAAAGAAAAGAGAATTTTCACTACTTCCTTATTAGCTCTAATATAGAACAATAGAAAAATACTTGCTTTCTAAGAGAGCTTTTGTTGGCATTTGGAATATAATTGATGTGGGAATTTTAAAGCTCAATTATACCCAATCTTGCAGTCTCACTTTTATTTCACACAGACAGAGGACTGGCAGAGTTTACTCAGGCCACTGTAGGGTTCTACAGAGCAGCTTCCCACATGTGTTTTCTTTCAGAGTGATCCCACAAAGATAAATGTATTACTGCATAGCTGCAAAGCAAAACAACCAGTGATCCTTGAGGTCCCTTCCAACCCGGGTGATTCTGTGATTCTGTGGATATTAGGGGGAAGTTCTTTACTAGGAGAGTGGTTAGGCCCTGGAACGGGCTGCCCAGGGAGGTTGTGGATGCCCCGTCCTTGGACGTGTTTAAGGCCAGGTTGGACGGGGTCCTGGGCAACCTGATCTGAATGTCTATGTTTGGTGGCCCTGCTAGGCAGGGGGGTTGGAACTACATGATCCTTGAGGTCCCTTCCAACCCGGGTGATTCTGTGATTCTGTGACATATGTAATTAATACTATCGAGAGAGATAGTCATGCTCAGAATACTTCTACACTCATTCTAAAGATGTGTATCTATGTTTCTTTCCTCAAACCAACAGTAACGACCGAAGCATTTTCTAATTCAGACCCTTCTGTCCCCAATGAGACAACAGAAGACAATCCTGATGGAGGCTGCCACATTTACAGATATGGATACTACACAGCTGGTATCACCATTGTAGGTAATGATGTGAGCCAATACCTGGAGCAGAATGAGGCTAATGTACTACACATATGGCAAAGATAATGTTTGTTTAGTCATAGTTTTATCAGATATGTGAGTCCCACAGTCAAGATCCTTCTCTTGGACACAGCTGGCATTTTCAAAGATTAATGCACACATAGTTAACCAGCCTACTTTGGTTTCTTTAGATGCTGACAGGTCAGCCTGTAGTGAAGTTTATGGTACTTTGGTTTCAGACAAGTCTTGATCTTCTTTTGTCTGGACACCTGCTGATGGTTGTCCCCATGCTACACATGGGTTTCCAGGCACTTGGGCTGGGAGAAAGCTGGTGGGGATACAAGCTCTATAATTCTTTTCTGTTCTGAAACCCACCGGCCACCGGGATCACATAAGGTTGTGCTAACCTTGGCATGTACAGAAGTGTGGCTACTGGGAGGTGGAAGTGATTCTGTGAAAGAAATAACTAACTATACAAGAAAAATAAAGCGAAGCAGAAAGCCATGATCTCATAGGGAAAGTACTGGAATATTTCTCAGCTTTCAAACCCTTCAAAAGGAGCACAAAGGGAGGAAAGTTATGGCAAACAAGACCTGACCTGAGCATCAGCCAAACACTTGAGGTTCTGTACACACAAGCTTGTCATGTGTCCTACTGTTGACATCTGTTTCCTCTCCCAGAGGGAATCCTTGAGGTAAATATTATTCGGATGACAAGCATCCAGTTGACAGAAAGTGAAGCTGAAAATCCACTGGTTGACTTTGTTGTTACCTGCCAAGGGAGGTAAGTATGTAAATGAAATTGTCAATCATCTTCCCTCTTTAAAAATAATTAGGTGCTGGAACACTGTCTGCGCTTACACGCAGCAGAATGAACAAAAGTTGGGAACACCACAGTGTTTCTATTTCTTGACTGGAACTAAAGATAATGAAAGTCTCATTTGTAAATTATGTCAATAGAAGCTACTGCCAGGCTCATAGGATACAGAACAAATGGCAGGCTGAACTAAAAGTAAGAGAACTAGATACTGTGGAGAAGCAATTCTACATTTTCCTGGCAAAGACAGGATTTTAGCACTCAATGTGAAATTGGAAGCAGCCTACTGAAGTTGGAAGGAAAAAGTCTCTTTTCAGTCTCTTTTTTGACATTTAGAGTAAATGGGTGTGTCTAAGCAGTTTCTTAGAGAGAAAATGTTGCACTAATTTTCCTAGCTCCTGGAAGGGGATCAGTTGAGAGGCATGAGAACTACAAAAATTGTCTTGGCAACACAACTGGAAAACAATTTACCTTTCTTAAGTTAGTGTTCAGATTTTTCAGCACACGACATTACGCATAAGAATCCGTATTCTTTTCATAATTATGTGTATTAAAGGCAACAAACTTCATAAGTCGATCTGTGGCAGGTTTTTCCTGTGATCACCACAAAACATTATATGCATAAAATACAGATAATACATATAGATAATATATAGATGCCATCTTCATAATCACGACGGTATCACTGATAAGCAAACAAACATCAGTATAAATCTGGGGCAGCAGTGCAAGGTGTCCATAAGTGGGGCTAACAGGATTCCACAACGCAACATATTCTCTCTTCCCACCCCAGTCTCCCTACAGATGTCTGTACAGCAGTTTCTGACCCCACGTGCCAGGTGTCTCAGGGCATGGTATGTGACCCCATCGTCGTCACTGAAGAATGCTTACTCACCATTAGGAGAGCTTTTGATGAACCTGGAACGTACTGTATAAACATCACCTTGGGTGATGACACGAGTCAAGCCCTTGCCAGTGCACTTATTTCTGTAAATGGAGGTGAGTCCGTGCAGAGCAGAGTGGTCTGTGAGCAGTTTCTCCCTGTGGTCATTTATCTGCTGAGAAGGGAACACAAGAGAAACATGGGAGTTTTAGCGTGCCTGGAGGCCTCAGCCATCTTGTGTGAAAGGTCATACAGCGATAAAAGACATTTGCTTCCCTATGAAAATTTTACATGTTAGAACTTGGTTTGATTTATGCGTACAACCTACAGAGTACAGCAATCATACAAACCCATCAGTAACACAAAACATGAAATGTTCTTTAGCTGTAGGTTATTTTTGCTACTCTGTTGGGCAGAAAAGTAGGTAAGGGACGTGTCATTCATCCTACTGCATACATGGATACATAGAAGACAGTAAGGAAGGATTTGGCTCATTTGAAAGAGAACCAAAGCCTACAGCTGGGCAGGCTGCCCTGTGCCCTCTTTGTAGCTCATTGATCTTAACTGAGTTTCTATTTCTACACAAGATGAACCAGGCTCTGGAAAGGCCTGAGTCATTCACTGATGACAAAGCGTGCCCTAGGTGACTGTTTTCAGAATAGGTTTACCTTGGTCAGATGAGTATCACTGTATCTCACAGTTATTCAAGCAGTCTTTGACAGAAACAGGTATTAACTTGGCCTCACTAAGGACCCTAAACAATAAAGCTGTCTCTCTGCTCCCAACCCATTCCCCTCCTGACCTCTCACTGAACATCCTAGTGACTCTTCTGATTTATTTAATTGGCATCAGCCAAGAAACTGACCCTTTGAAGTCACTTGCCACAGTATTTTGGCTGCTCTTATTCTATCTAGCTGTAAAATTAGCTGTGCCTAAATCACTTATGGTGACTAAGACACAATGTCTGACCTAATTGTATTTCAGCTCCAAAAGACAGGAAAAAAAAATGAAGTAGGATTTTACAAAAGTGTATTCACAGCAGCTAAATTTAGCCTAACAAGACTGTGTCCCCAGGTTTCCTCCTGAAGGAAAAGCTAATTTGTAGTCTGGGGCTTTACGCTATAATCATTTCGGAAATAGGATCTAAGAGAGGCTGCTGCTACGAATCACCTTCTGGAGGAGCTCACCTAAAATGTGCAAACATTTCCCACGTGCCATGATTTTGCACAAATTTCAAGGGAAAATCCCATTTGGTACCCGAGGACACGTAAACATTTGACCTTTGAAGTTTGGCAGGACTGTATCTGGGTTTGCAGGCAAGCAGCTTTTAACCTGCTCAAACTGCTGTTGAATGAATTGCAGCCCTATGATTTAGACCTGTCCCATCAGTTTGCTTTGCAAGCTAGTCCAGGGACCTGCCTTATTAATAAAACAGTGCAAGTCCCTACACTCTCAGAAAAATTATCATGTGAACAAACAGTAAAGTCAAGCCTCCACAGGTATTTTATCAACAAACTGAAAAATGCATGAGGCACATATACCAAGTAAATGATTTAATGTCATGATTTTTCACAGATATCAATTATAAATCAACACACTGGAAAGTAAGTCAACATGCACCTCTAGGTTACTTCACTGTATAAAAACTGTGGTAAATACGAGGAGTAATAATGTGTCTCAGTATTCTCAGTGAATGGGTTGAAGTCCTTCCAATGGGCTGGAAAATTAAGATATGTAACACATTTAAAAAAATTGTAACAATGCACCTTCTTCTATCACATACAATGGAATTTGGAATAGAGTGAAATTGTAGTGACAAGCCAGAAGATAGAGCTCAATGACGATCAGAGCTCAGAATTAATTTCCCAGGATAAGAATGTTAAACAGCAGAGCTCTCACCTCTTCAATAAAGCAAACAAGCCTGGGTCCATTAGGCTCTCAGCCAAGCTTTGCCATCTTAATATGTGGAGCTGAAACAAACAGCATTTAAGAAAGTCTATTTTTATTCTCTTTTCCTTACCTTGTGGCTATTAGTTGATAGGCTAAAGTTGATTCCTACATTATAGCTTATAAAGAAACAACATTTCATACTTCAGTGTAAATGGTCCCCTAACTTTGCAGTCGGCGGGGAGCCAATCAGCTCCACCTCATGGGATGCCACCACGGGTCCCTCAGTGGCTGGAGGAGCCACAGCGTGTCTCTGGAGCAATCCACATGTGAAACCAGCAGAGCCAGCCCACTGTGTGCTGGCACTCAGAAGTAAGCCTATGAGGCTATGAAAGCACCATCTCTTGCCTAAGTCTCTGACTTCCAACGCTTAGCTTGCATTCCAGTGTAATACAGCCATTAAAACAGTCAGATAAAAATTATATTTTCTTGAGAAAACCGATTTAACTGTTAAAACAAGGCTAATTTTTAATCTAACTGCTTTCTGAACTCTAGGATCATCCTCAGGGACAACAAAAGGTGTCTTCATCTTCCTTGGTTTGTTGGCAGTGTTTGGCGCCATTGGGGCTTTCGTCCTTTACAAGTAAGTTGCTAAGACTAAAAACAGTTCAAGGAACTGACAAAAATATTAGCTAAACTAGCACAACCCACAACTTAAATTTGTGCTAGCTGTATTTTTGTTTCTTTTTCATTGTTATTCACAAGTGTTCTAGCAAACACTCAAGAATATGAGATTACTGACTTAACCCATAAAGCCATCAGAAAATTTGTGAATATTTGAATTTAATAGACAATTACATTTGGTGTTCATGTGCATAAACAGTAATAAGAGGCCTGGGAACAGCATGTAAGGAAACTCAAACTGCATAATGTGATTTAGTATTCGGTAGAACTTAACAAATAGAAATTTTATGTAGCTTTAAAACTCTTAACAGTAGTGATCAAGAATTAATCATCAAAATATATCAAATAACTGACAGATTCTCTGGGAAAAGGGTACTGGGCATGCAGAAAGTGGTTAAAAGAAACATATTTGTGCATTATTACCTCCGATGTTTCTGAAACTTCAAGACTGCACTGAGACTCCCGAGTTAAGAGTATGCTCAGCCTTTGCGGGCAGTGGTGAGGAAGAAACACAGAGCAACAATACTCCTCTAAGCAACAGAGCCTTCTCATTAACCAGGCCTTAGTCACAACTAATTAACTACAGCAGTCAATCATTATTGTTTTAATAGAAGGGGGAAGGAATTATGTTATGAACATATGATCAATTCTCCTCTGCACTGGGCCACGTGCTAAATGTGGACCTTTGTGTTCAAATGTCATTCTGCAACTAACTGCACATGTTCTTTGCAGGAGATACAAACAATACAAACCTATTGAGAGAAGCGCAGGACAAGCAGAGAACCAGGAGGGACTGAGTGCTTATGTCAGCAGCTTCAAAGCCTTTTTCTTCCCTAAGAGTACCGAGAGGAATCCTCTGTTGAAAAGCAAACCAGGCATTGTTTAAACCTTTAGCTTAACATTGACTTAGATTATGTATAAGACTGTATCATGATTTTTTGTTGTTGTTATAAAAAGAAATGGGTAAGATAAAAACACATCTAGATTGATTGGTAGCTCTGGGGGGCTTGGTGCAATTAGAAATACCAAAATAGTCATTCTTAGAAAACAAAGGTAGTTTTGTGCACTTGCTGTTCTTGCTTGTGATCTAGGATATGCTTTTCTAAATAACTAACCCTCATGCCTAGCATTTTCTCACTTTTGGGTTAACTAGATATAAAATTAATCAGATCTAAAACCTGCAGGGGAAAAAATACTATGTAAACAAGCGAAAACCAAAAATGCATAAATACTTAGTCTTCAATAGACAGTCCAGTATAGCTGCTTATCACCTTAAAGAAGATTCAGGTCAGAAACAGGAGGCAGACACTGGCTACAACTGTGGAAAGAAACTGCCATGCTATACTCCCAGGCACTGGCACCTAGCTGCTCATGTTGGTTCACTGTTGGTCCTAGCACAGGCTTGCCCTGTACCTACCAGCTCCTCACCAAGCAAATCCCAGCCTCTGGGAACCTCCACAGGCACTGCTGCTCACATGCAGTTTGGCAGCCATCCTGCTTTGCATGGCAATGGCATTCAGAAGTGTGCAGGCAGACAAGGCTGGACAAAGCAGCTCGCTGCTGTGGACATAGCTACTAGTGCACAAGACTCACTATACCCTGGACCACAGACACCCAAGCAACGATAACAAGGCCCACCTGCTTGGTTTTTCCTGTCGAAACTTGTTTTTAAAGAAATTCTAATTTCTCCATTCTCTCTCTTCGACCACTTTCCCAAGTGAAAACCCCAATCTACATAAGGCACCATGCTTCAGTTATTGCTTTTGCGTCACTCAGCTTGTGCTGGGCATGTAACTCTACACAGATCATTTCTGAACACTGAATTCTTTGAAGATCTATATTTCAATACATTTAGCTTATTTAATGTATCTTACAATTAGCCTGACGCATATTGTTCTCCATTCCTGAGGCAATGAAGAAGCACAGATGTATTTTCCTGACATCTTGGCAGGCCTGCTCACCATTTGCAATCTGAACACAGCCTTCACTATCACGTCCACACTGTGCACAGACATCACTTGAGGATATATGGATTATGACACACCTGTGAGGTTAGGTCTAAAGCTATAAAAATTCAGTAGCCTTTTATTTTGCTTCCATTTGCAGGAGATTCCATTTGCATTCCATTCCATTTTATATTTGTTTCCATTCTCCAATGAATTGTACTTCTTTTGTAGCCATTTCAGATATATGATTAGAAGTACCAGGTCTGGTTTTGTTATGTCTTCCTTATGGATAGCAAACACCCATCTAACCATAACTGGGCAAACAATTCCCTGACTTAAACAGAAACTACTTTTCCTGTGAAATGTGCTGTCTGAACATTACAAGGCCTGTCATCGCCTGAAGCTGACTTGCTGCCCTGGCTTGGGGCAGGACAGGGCTTCCACCAACACTTCACCATGATGACCTGCTATGAGGCAGGGAGAGATGAGCTCTGTCACAGGGTCAGGAGTAACGCGGGCTGCCAGTGACCCAAGCTACATGCAGAAAGCACCTTGTTTGGAGAACATTTTAGGCGCTGCCTGTCTTCTCAGGCTTTTGCACCGAAATGAGCTTTCAGGCACACTTCAGTAACTTTTTTAAAATCTTTTACCCAAGAGTACGACACGGCGTGCACTCTTTTTTACATATCATGTCACTTTAATCATCTGATTTTGCCTTTTCAACTGCAACTTCCATTTTGTACACCTTTCGTCTTATACAATGGAATCTAGCTGCTGTATTGACAAATAAACCATCCAACCATTGTCAAGTGCACTCTCCGTTTGTCTTGCAATGAGTCAAACAGGCAGCTTGGCGAGCTGAGTACTGACCAAATCAGTGCCTACCTGCAGAAAACACAGGTGGACCTGCCTTAGCCTTGGTGCCTTTGTGCAAGCCAGATGCTCAGCTCAAGCCGGCCCTCACAGCGGGGCACGCAGCCCGCACGAAGCAGCACCGAGCCGTCCGGCCGCCATTACAGCACGGCCTCCACACCCCACCTCACCAACAAGGGCCCCCACGCACGCGCCGTCTCGCGCCCTACTGTGCAAGCAGACCGACGGCGAGATAAGCAAATAGGAGCGAGAGGCGGCCGGCAGGCCGGCCAATCGCTGTGCGGCAGCCAGGCCGTGGGCGGGACGCGGGACGGCCGGAATGTGGCGGGCGCTGCTGGGAGGTCGCCGCCTGTTGCGGTCCTGCTCCGCCGCGCTCGTGGCTGGGGCGCCGCGCGGGGGCGGGGGAGCAGCTGTGAGGGGAGCGGGGGGCGGCGGAGCGGCGGCCGCGACGGAGGAGCGGCGGCAGGTGGCAGGTAGGGCCAGCATGCGGGCCGTTATCGAGTGTCTTCGGGGGCGAGAGCCAGGAGGGTGGATACGGAGCCAGCTTCGTGGCCCCATCCGTGGCAATACTTGCGCGTAGCTGCCGTTCCGTTGTTTGGCTCCGTCTTTGTATTGGTGAACGCGGAGCGCGGCTTTGTGGTAGTGCTCAGTCTGTGCTACCGCAGCGCGGTGCCGGCGGGCTGAAATACGCGCACGGCTGGTATCTGCTGCTTAGGGCAGCTTGGAGCTGACCTGACGCGGTGGTGTGAGCAAAGGGAGCGGCACCCGTGTGCCGGGCTCCTCACCGCCGCTCTGAGAGGCTTTTAACACGGGCTTTATCTTCAGCTTTATCTGCGCTACCTGAGAGGACGGGGTAGTGAGACGAGGGCCGGCCTCTGCTCCCGGGTAACAGCAATAGGATGAGAGGTGATGGCCTGGGTTGGATGACGTGAGAGGTGTTTTCCTTTAAAGGCTGTGATAATCCCCAGTGGCAGAGCAGGAAAAGAACACAGCGTCGCACCGGCTCTGTTGTAATACATTCATTTTCTCTGCTTAAGAGTTGGGTTTCTCACACGTTATCCTGGGCCTGCTGGGGCCTGTTGACCAAGCACTGTTGTGGAATATTCTTAATGTGTTCAAAGTGAATGTCTGCTGAAGTATTTTGGTTTTATTCATTTTAGTTGTCGAATATCTGATGATAGTATCGACTTTAAGATGTGCTTGTGAGAAATAAAGAAGTTACCTTAAGGAAACTGTGACTTTTGCCAACTGCTCCATGCATCTAGAGAGTATTATTTACCAGAAGAGAGCTTTAGTACTCAACTTGGATGATTTTAAGACGTAGCTTTTAAAAATCAGCTGTTCATGTTGGATTGCCAGTACCAAACCAGACTTCACTATGAGTGGCTTTAATTTATTTAGTTCACTGCTATTTTGCATCTTCGGTAACTTGGAAGCGGCAAGAAGGAAGTTGTCATTACTGCTGTTATGTTTTCTGTTCTAGACTCTTCTCTTCCAAAGTTCAGCATTGACTTTGTTGTAAATCTGCTGAGGCAAGAGAATGCGAAGGACATCTGTGTCATCCAAATACCTCCAGAAATAAAGTACTGCAATTATTTTATAGTTGTGAGCGGATCTTCAACACGGCATCTCCATGCAATGGCACATTACATGCTGAAGATGGTAAGACAGTTCCCACTGTATTCTCTTGGTGGGAGTGGTTTTAGGTGAAGATTTCAACTGTGAAATTAATTTCACTGTTGTACAGATACACTGGGCAAGATAAAATTGCATGTCCTCATGTAATTTATTTTTGAGTGCATCCAGCAACTGACTGTAGTTTTCTTCTTTAGCAGTGCTGCTCAACATGTAAAGATTATATTTTAAAAACATACCTCTGTATTCAGGGCACCGATGACAGTAGCACTGGTTGGTGGCTGCAGTGAGAGTTTATCGGCAATGAGAAATGGTACTGACAAACTGTGTCTGTTTGTGTCTTCAGTTCAGCATGCTTCATAGCTATTCCCACTCCCTCAAAATAGCCTAATCTGACTGTTCTCAAACCTTAATCCATCCAATCTGCAGGTTTTCAAATACACTGTAAGACCAGAAGAAAGATTGCATACTATGAGGCAAAGGATCCTCTCCTAGGCTTACTAAAGCAAACTGCTATTGACTGTGCTGTGCGTGTGCAGAAGGGAAGGAGAAGCAGCAGCCATCCTTCATAGAAATCTTGTGCAGTTTGGCTTTGGCAGAACGTGCTTTTCAGCACAGGAGCATAGGTCAGAATAAGAATATACGTAGAGCTTAGTGATGCGGACCTGACTCTGGCAGGGCAAATCTTTGAGGCTTCATTTTTCTTTGAGTCCTGTTGGTTTCAGCTATGAAACTTGAGGGAAGAAGGGGAAGATGGTTTTACTTTTCAGTACTCAGAGTGGCAGAGCATACCTGGCATTGGAAGCTCTGTGGGCAAAAAGGAAGCTAAAGCCTAAGCAGAGCAGGTGCTGGGGCAGCTGGCTAGCTTTAGTACTACCATACTTGCAGTGTTATGGAATGGATGATTTACTGGCACTGAAATGCACATGTGCCTGTGTGTAACATGAGGCCTTCCCACTCTTCTAGCAGCTTGTAAGCAGCAAAGTCCCAACTGCTGCTTACTCCTTCCTGTCTGGTGTTGTGTTAGAGGAAGAACATAATGCTTGTCTTCATAATTTGTTCACCGTTAAACGGCCTTTAAAGATAGGGCTGAAGGAAACCTGTGGTGGAGATCAGCCTCAGCCTTCCCATGTTGAGTTACATGTCTTTGGTTACCTTCTTTTAAGGATATCTCATAAGCTACTTTACAGAAATGTAGAACTACTTCTTAATTAAGTTATGGCCACTCTGTTCTTTGCAAGTTGGTACCGTTGTCCAGCAGGTAGCCTTGTATGGAACAACCACAAAGAGTTGCATTTGGTGGTAATTGATTTCATATTGAAGTAGGATTCATTTCCTGACTGGCCATACTATTACAGTCTTATTTTGTAATCTGATTTTCAAGGCAGAAGGGACTGCTATTGCTGTGCACCTGTACTGTTTCCTTGTTCAGAAATAAATATTTTCTTAGTTTCCTTGTTTTAATTGCAGCTTAAAAAGGTTTCCGTGTTTTGGATAAGATGCATGAACTAGAGATAAGGTAAAACTGATTAAGGAGCTGTGAAGATTCAGCAATTTCAGTATTGTAGGTTGTTGTTTGTTTGTTTTTAATTTATGCTTGATATATAAACAAACTGTACTTAAACCTCCAGTTGTGAAATTTCTCCAGCTCTGGGAGATGCTTAGATTGTTGGTGTTGCCAGTAGGAAGACTGGATCCCCTCCAGCCAGTGTCTGCAAAAGTTGCTGTGTTGCATAGGAAATTCCCTGCCTTGCCCCCATAGCTTCTGCAGTCCTGCTGTGAGCTGCCCTCTCCTCTTTGTCCTAGTAATTCATAACTTGTAAACCTGAATGCCGATCATGTTTTCCCCACTATGCAACAAGTGCTCAGAGCATGCTCCTGAGGCAGGAGACTTCTTTGCCTTTTCTGTGATGCAGGGTCAAACTCATTTTCTCTCCCTCTCTTTGTTCCATTGGGCATCTCTGTTTCTGCCAGCATAAAACAAAACAAAAGATACATGAAAGGAGGCAAAACGTGATGCTGGTGATAGTTAGCTAGCACATAGCTAGTGCTAGGGAATCTACCTGCAAGGCTACTTCATTGCTAAGTAATAGCTTAGTATTCATCTTGAGGAAGAAATGGACACAAACCTCATGGGTAACTGCTTGGGAGCTTTGGACATTGGAACTCCAGGTCTGATGGTAAATCTCACTGAGAGATCTGTACTTATTTTCCAGAGCTGCAGCTGTATATACCTGTGCAGCCCTCAAAATCACCATTATTTTCTACCTATTGCATTTCTGATTTAAAACAACTCTACACAGCTTGATAAAGTCAAGTTTAGCTGCCAGGTCTGAGTGTTTAAATGAATGTGAAATATTTCATTTTCTGCTGTTGCTTCTCTCTCAGTACAAGCATCAGAAGGAAGAAAGTGATCCTCACACTCGGATTGAAGGGAAAGAAACAGATGACTGGCTGTGCATTGATTTTGGTACGTATTTGTGAACGTGACCTGTATGACATTCTGCACGAGCTCTTTAAGGAAGGAAACATCACAGTGAGCCCTGGTTGCCGTGAACAGTTATCAGTACTCTGCTATTTTACAATTCCAGTTGTTGATGCGCCCCATGGAGCTACTAAGTTACCTTCCGCTAAATATCGCAGCAGTGAGAAGAAAGCAGAAGCTACTCTTCAGTAGCTGAAACAGTCTTAATAAAAGTTGAGCACGGAACTGCTGAAGAGAACAGCTGCTTCAGTACATTTCCTCAAGTGTAGAATGACCATTTGGGCAAGCAGGGGCTCTTGGTATGCTGCCTGAGTAGTGAACCGTTGAACAGACTGCCACTGTCTGTCATCCTATGACACCAGATAAAGCCACAGTCCTAGAGAAGTTTAATTCAGTATTTTGTTCTTAAGTGTGGAACTTTCCACACCAGTGTTCAAGGCTTTACCCTGAGAGTGGCATTGCAGCTTCACTGCCATCTCTATAATCTCACCCTCTGTATCTTGGCTTAAAAGAGTACGGGTGAGAAAGCACTGCAGCAAGTGGCGTTCAGCTTCAGTTACATTACTGTTGATGATGTTTGATAATTATAAATGGAGAAGTAATTGAAATTGAAGGGTATAACCAGAGAAAACATATTAGAAGTACACTTGAATGAGCTTTTCTTTTTTGCTATTGTTTTAACAGAATGAAACCCTGTAAGAAAACACTTACTGCAGTAAAAGGGTGAGGCTTTGTCCAAGTTTGAGCTCAGCTGTTCTATGTTAAAAAATACGAACAAAGCTAAGAAGCATGGGAAACCTGAAGAAAACTAATTGGCTACAGCTGTACGTTGTTGATAATAAAGGGAAGCTGAAGGTTCATCTGTAGCTTTGAGGAAGGAGTTCATTTAAGTAAAAGTTCTGGCTTACAATTTCTTGGGGACAGAAGGAGGACAACTTCTTTGATCTGGAGTTCTGTGACACTGCTTTAAACAAGAGCACTGTCCTTCTGCTGGCTGTGTTCTTGCATTCTGCATAAGGAATGACCAATTCCTCTCTGTTCAAGAGCTGGAATCAGTGATCAAGGAAGAGAGCTCCCCCATCAGCTGACCTGTTATACGGAGTCAGAATGAGGATGGAGTACTTAGACTCTGTGAAGCTGGAAGTGTGGTAGCGCTTTACAGGTCACTAACAAAAAGGGCTACTGTGTTTCACTGTTGATAGATCACTAAAATAAGCATTCTTATCCCACCCTATTATGGTTTTTGAGCAGTTTCAGACTTAACCTGATTCACTGCCCTGAACTATGCTGCAAAGGACTCTCACTGCTTATTTACTGTGCTTTTTTCTTCTGTGCAGGAAGCATAGTGGTACACTTCATGCTGCCAGAGACACGAGAGACTTATGAACTGGAGAAGCTGTGGACTCTAGGTTCCTATGACGACCAGTTAGCACAGATGACTCCACAGTTACTGCCAGAAGACTTTATACTAGGACTGACTTCTGAACAGCAGTGATCAACTTGTGACAAGAACTTAACGTAGCTGCTGAGGTGCCTGACTAGGAGACGGGAGTTGCCTCAGCGGACACAGGAGGCACAGCAACTTGGCCATCACTAGCACGATCAGCATAAACCAGTGTATCAAAAGAGCTGCCGGAATGTCATGAAGGGACAGTATCATAGGGGACCTTCCTGGAAGATGTCTCAATGGAGTTTGCAGTGAGGACGGTAGGAAAAGACAACCATTTAAGCTACTTACCCCCAAAACTCAGGCACAGTCTCTGCAAGGGCTGTTTTTCTAGCATCTTTGAAAGGCCTGCCTGTGGTGGCAGTGCATGCTGAAGTACCTTTCCTGCAAAATGGCTTGAGTGCTGTACAGTAAAGTTACATTAAGTAGTAAAGTTTAAGTGAGGCTTCTTGTGTGAAGTCAGTTGCTTTTGGTTGAGGTGAAGCAAATGATGTGCCGAGCTGAAGGGAGAGAGAAAACAGTGGTGTTGCTGAACTCATAAAAGCCAAGAGTAGCAGTAACAAATGTGTCTTGAATTAACAGAATAGTAAGTCAGTTCTTCAGCCAAGGCCAATCTGTTTTTAATAATAATAATAAAAACACAACTGAAGAACTTCAATTCCTTGCCCTCGTGTTAAAACATTCGGCTTATTATAAGTGCACAGCTAGCCTCTCAGAAATTTTCCTCTCACCTGGTTCCTGGAAAAGGACACTAAGGAACATGCTGTGGCAGCATAAGCCTTCAGACCTTTTGAGGTGGGTGAAAATAGTCCTAGAGAAAGCCATTTGTTACTTAGCATAACTTGCTGTTGGACAGATAGTTCATCATTTTGACTACAGCGATGACTACAGACATCACACAATGATATCTGTATCATTGCACACTGTTCTTGGTCAGCAACTGCTAAAATCCAGCTACAAGAGCTTCAGGATGGTAACAAGTCTTGTTTTCTCATTACGGAACAATGCCTTCATTGCTAGATTAGGATCTCTTCCTTCTGGAGAAGCTTGCTTTGCATCTGGATTTTGGTTGGTTTGTAAACAAAGAATATAATTTGCTCTATTCCAATCTGGGTCATTTATCATGCCGAGTCTGCCCTCTTATTTTAGGAGTAACTACTGTGAACTCACCTGCTCTTTGATAGAAGGCAGCAGATAGTTATGCAAATTGAACAAGGAACTTTAATAATAAATATAGTTAATGAATGGAAGTAACACCAAATCTGTCCACAAAATTAAAGTGTTAGTGGTAAACGTGTCTGCAAAAAACGATTTGCAAAATGTTTCCTGATCCTTAGCAACAAGAAATTCACCTAGAGGAACATTGGCTTTCTTACACATTGTGGTGGCTTCAAAATCAGGCATTTTTTCCCAGGAGATGTGCATAAAGTAGCTTCAGATCGCTCCCTGAAAGCCTTTCGTGCTGGAGATGTACAGCTAGCTGAATAGAGGCAGACTCAGCACACATTACTCTATTGTATGCACTCACCATACTTTAACATTTAGTAACAAAAGAACAGTAATGAGAGCCTAGAAAAGAACAGGAAGTGATAGGGAACAGCTGTCATGTGAAGTCTAGGACTCTTACCATTAGCAATGAATGATACTAAGAAAAGTATGAGACAAAAACACTAAGATGCATTAAAAAAAAAAGAATTCACTGTGAAGGCACATTGTGAAAAGAAGTTGGCTGAAAAACCCACTGATTGCTATTAATCAGAAATTCCAGCTCAGGAAGAAAACTTCTTCACCTCTCATTTAACGTAATCTGTCATATCAGTATCACCCTATGTGACTCACAGAACCTTTGGTCTGACTCTTGAATCCTTGGAATTAACAAAGTCTGGCTGGTCACTGCTGTGCAACACTAAATCCCTTTGGGAAGAACACATGGGAATGTTTCTCCTCCATGGATAACATGAGACCCTCGTGTAAAATAAAAAGGCCCCTCTGTAGTTTGTCCAGCGAGACAGATGCACTGATCAGTCTTCTACAAAGGTGTGCTCAGGATGCCTTGACAATGGTAGACAGCAATATGAAACTTCGGTCACCACATCACAAAATTTCCTGCACTGCATTTAAGTAACTTAGTTATCAGGCGGTGTCTACATCCATCAATTGAGCTAGCAGCTGTTACAGCCCAGCTTACCCAGCTTGAGTGCTTACTCCACTGATTTCTCACATTCATTTTGAAACCCCATGCTCAAGCACCATGTTGAGGCTCTGCTTGTCCTGCACAGCATACATGCTTCACTTGATGGAAACTAACATAAAGAGCGCATGCCTTTGAAATTGCAGCTCAAGAGTAAAAGCTTCATAAGGTTAGAAGCAAATAAAAGCATCATGATTAAGCAAATGATTAAAAAGTCAGAGGTTTAATGATGGCCAATGCACCAGCATTAAGGAGGGAAGGTTAATTTATGTTGCTCAAAGGGCAGGGATGCCAGGTCTGAGAAGTGAGCTCAAGGGAAAGATGAGCCCAATTTCCCTGTAAAATGCAGTACCATACAGTGTTTTTGCAGACATCATTTCTTCAGTTCTCTCTTTCTGCTGATTGGTCTCAGTAAATGAGCTGTGAAGACAAGTGGGAAGATGCAAGAGATTGGAAAAGAAGCCTGGTTTTCCACTCCACTTTAAAAGATAGAGTTATTTGTGAACACTTCCTCATTCCCCAACACCTCCCTCTCACCTTGGAGCATTCACAATGAAATATCTCATTTCAAACAACATTAAAAGGGATCTAAATCAAGAGAAAAAACCACCTCTCGAGATCTAACCGAGGGCACCACCTTCCTGACAATGGGTGCGTATGGGACAGAGGAGGTGGAACAAGGTGGGATACAAGGTGCCATATTTACTCACTAATGAGCAGTCCAGGTTCCTGGGGCCACGCTCATTGCCCAGCTGCACCACACACAAAGCATCAAAGACTGGGTAAAAAGCAGCTGAAAAAAGAAAGTTTATACCACAACTCAGATCTCACTTGAAACTTGTTAAAAGCTCCCTTTGGGTTTGCACTGGGTCACAACTGCTGTGCACATGTTCCTTCCAGAGCAAACCACACACTAAGTTATCTGCACGAGACAAACTGTGAACTAAAGGTGGTACTACAAACCATAGTGCTGTTGTATGAAAACGAAAAGGTGAACTGGAAGCCACAGAAGTCACTACTTGTACTGGAAAGTGTGAACATCATAGCTTGGCTGCTGGATGCCCTCGCAGCTGTGGAATGCCTGCGGGTGACTGTTCAGCCTTACTCAGTTCTTACTACAGACAGAAAAACAACTCGATCAAAGCACAGTAAATACTTAGAGCAGTCAGTCATTATGCCTCATTAGTTTAAAAAAACAACACACAACTGTATCTGATGATAGGAGTTAAACTCTTTATTCCATTCAGAGGCATCTGGCAAGTGGAGCTGCATTGGGGGGCACATTACAGATGAAAAATGATCCATACTTTGTGGATATTGAAATCATTTACAGTATTTACTTTCTAGCTATTCCCAAATACTCCAAATTACCAAGTCTCAATTGAAAATAAAACATGATTTATCATACTAAGTCTAGAAATTTAAGAGATATGACAGTAATTAAATCAGTAGATGTAAATGCAGCGCCTATTTGTAAATAATTTTTATGGAAAATAATGAAGTCAAATCCTTCTCAAATGTTAAGAAAGGAACATCAGACTGACTTAAGCCTCGACAAAAATTAAAATGCTATGACTTTTCATACTTCAGTAATTTTAAATTCATTGTAAGAAAAAAAATTATCCTAAAGGCTAGAATGAAGGTCACTGTCAAAAAAGGAAAAGAAACTCATTTTTCTTTGCTAAAACTACAACATAAGTTTGTGGTTTTTAAACCAATTAGTAAAGAAGAGATGCAGGAAAAACACTTCAGACCATTTTCAAAATTATCTAACCTGTACAACAATGATCTTTGGGAAAATTATCTAGTCTATGTAGTAATGCCTCTATTTCAACATGAACCTAAGAGGTAGATAACAAAATGATGAAACAAATGTTTTTGCTCGTTGTGCCCCTCAAATCAGTGCAGCATGGTGATTCTGATCATCTCATGCACAAAAAACATCACAAAAAAAGGTTCAGAGGTAATAGCATGGCTCTGTCGACCACACACATACAGGCGCGCACGCGCACACACACACACACAGCAGTCTTTATGCACCATGTGTTGCCACATTTTTTTTTTTTAAACTGAGGTAGACTGAAGTTTATTGTAGAAACTTGAATGTGTCACTATTACCACAATCAGCATTCAAATTACATTCTGAAATTAAAAAATTTGGTAACTTTCCTGTTATCCCTGCCTTTTGACATTTTTTTCTAATGGTTGGTTGCAGAACGTGCATAAATCCTGCTGCATCTATTATAAGCCAGGCTAGAGAGGTTGTTGGTTTGTTTTTTTTTCTTGTAATAGTTTTAAAACCTTCAAAGTGGCTTAGTGTGGCCCATAACAGCGGCTGGATATGTAAACTTAGCCTTCGTTATCTTTCAACGTGATCAAACACTGTTTGACCTTCCCCCATCGTGGTAACTGAAAGCAGTATGATGTGATCTGCAGACAGCAGAGACCCTCGCGGCCTCCAAAACGCCCTGGCAGATCGAGTGTTCTATCAAACTGAAGATGAAGCTTGCTCTTTGAACAAAATGGCAAAGTCCAAATGGGCTGCAAATGGTTAAATGTAGCATTATTAGGTAGTGATGGTCAAAGGCACAAAGGGTTCATGCATTCAATCAAGTAGCACAAAAAAAAAATTCAGCCTCTTGCAGCCTTCTAAATTTTTCCCCCAACCCCAGCCTCTTGCCATCACTTCCTTGTCCTGTTCCCAAAAAAGTACCGTCACAAACTTTTTCATCCCATCTTAAAAGAAAACTAAACGGCATTGCTGCTATCAGAATGTTGGCATCATTCACTATCTTTTGAACATTCACTGAATTTTTTTTTAAACAAATGATGGTGTTGAAGCCCTCAGAAAATCTGAGGCCGTGTTTTTTTTACCCACCTTACTCCCATCAGCCAGCAGCTAGAAGTGCTCTGCTATATTTTTCCCCGATAAGTCCGTAGTACTCCTGGCTGGTGGCTGATCAAATTTTAATTTTTTTTAAAAAAATAAAATGCTCAAGAACTATTAGCTTTATAAAGTATACAAAATACCAAAAAAAAAAAGCAAAAAAGGAACAATTTCTCATTGAGGTACTAAATGCCTGAGGTAGTTTAGTAAAATGCATATTTATCTTTTTATGCCCTGGCCAACACCATTCAACACTTCCCTTAGGTTATTCATGGCAGTGTTATGTAAAAATGCAACCAAATTCTTTTTAAAAAAATGCCACTTGTTTCAACATTGGGACTAACACTTAAACTCCTGTCGATACCCTTGCTCTAACCCTAGCCCACCCACAATCCCACCCTCCTAATGTGTTTCTTCTTTTACCGCTGGACCTATAAGAGCAATGCCTTTTCTTTTTTTCCTTTTTTCTTTTTTCTTTTTTTTTTTCTTTTTTTTTTTTTTTTTCTGTTTTTAAACCAGTGAACTCAGAAGAGAAAGCTTCATTAAACCAAGTTCTAAAATTGTTGGGGAATAATAAGAACAATAAAAAAGACTAACGAGTTTATGTTAAATTGTGAGAATAGAACAAAAGGGAAGTGAAGGGGTCCTTATTTTAAAGCTGGGTTTCAAAAGTTTGAGAGAGCCTAAAGAATACATTCTCAGAGACAGCGTTCAGCGGTTGCCTGGTCCTCGAACAGGTGATTGGCTTGGTGGATCTTCTGCATATAACTTCAACAGGTGCTCACCACCCGTCTCTCTGTTGCACAGTCTGTCTTTGGTCTGGCATCTGTCTCTGATGGGCCATTTCCTAAACCTTTATTTTCGTCTTGGCTGAGGCTGTCCACTTTGCAATGTTTTTTGCTGTTGCTGCTGCCTTCTTACCTGAGCCAGTATTTCCTGAATTTTTCTCTGAGCAAGCTGAAGGAAATAAAGAAGAAACAACCCATGATGATGGCATGAAGTTACTGCAGTTCACAACAGACCCTAAAGATGCTACTGGGACACCAAAAACCTGGACTAACCAAGTTCCTAGAACTGATTACTCATTACCAATTACTCATCATATGATCTTTTTTAGTTGTAGTGCACAATTTTTAAACTTTTCTACTCCTTCCATCTTCCCATGTTCGGGTTTACCACGCGTAATATAGAAAGCACAGGAATATGACCACCAACAAGACTAACTGAAGTTCCAGACTAACTTCATTTTATTCCCCTGGAGGTACTTGCTATAAGAACAGTCTGCTCTAGTGAAGCTGTTGTTTTTTGCATGAGAGATCTCAGGAGGTTACATCTCACAGAATTTAGTAGCCCTCCTGATTTCTGAGCTGTGAATCACCTGCAGCAACGTAACAAAGGAATCAATGAGGCAAGGGAAGGAATCTTGTGATCCTTTTCTATGACATTAAATTGACAGATTGGGAAACATGGACAAATTGCATTCCTTGCCAGGTATCATGAGAAAGCTTACAACCTTCTTTCATCGGCATTTCACTCCAATTACAACAACTTGGGTTTTCTTTTGCTTTGGAAGTTGTAACTGCCTGCACCTAAACATAGCAACAGAGACTTGCAAGATGATTGTTTTACATATGTATAAATGCAACACTGCTATAAATCTCTCTCATTACAGCAAGACAATTAGACAAGCCTGGCAAGCAGTGCTTCCTACAGGCTGCATGTCTTTTATCTGTACACATATAGATGGAGAAGACAGTCCATAGAAACATCAAGGCAATGTAGAACTTCACTGCAGTCCTCCTACCTGGCATGCATAGAAGTGACCAGTTATTTTCACAACCACCTGGTCATTTTCATCAGGTGTCTGGTCACGAGGGACTACAACTTCTGCACTTGTCAAGTTTTGAAGCTCATTTACCTGTAAATAAAGAGCTGTTAAAAAATCTTAGACAAACAAATACTCCACAACATCCATGCCTCAAAGATGCTGCTGACCTTAGAAACATCCTGTCCAAAAAAGGAAACCCACTACAGAAAGCATCTTTGTGCAGCAGCATACTTTGCAAACTGAGCCTCCTTTCTCTAACACAAATTAGCACCAAATTCTCTATGCTTCTAGAAGTGCTGTGAAGTCTAAATAAAACACACAGAAGACATTAACTATCCTGCTTATAAAAAGCAGATTACATGCCACAGTGCAGTTGATTTTACAAGTTTAAGGTCAGAGAACTCATACAATGTATGGAAGAAAAAAATGTCAAAGAACAGCCAAGACTGATGCCATTTCTTCGCCAGTATCCATCTCCTCATTCCCAGACATATGAAAACACAGGAATACCAGCATCTTTGCATAAAAAGAACTGTGCTGAGGAGATGCTGTTAGACAAAGCAAATTACCTACTGGTCATTGGTCATTGCTGTTTTCTGATATTGAGTTTTGAACACATTATAGTTTTCTACCACTAATTTAGAAATTATGCTTTCAATCCATTTGGTCCAAAGCCATCACTTGTGTACACATTGGATTTGATTTAAACCAAATGAGATCAGTGGATTATTTTCTATTTTCTTATTCCAAAATCTAGCATAAGGTACAGTTCAAAGAAGTAAGTCTTAATGGCTATGTTTAAATTTTAAGTGGAAGAACAGTATTTCTAATATGACCTATAGATCTGACTATGATTAACCGGTTAAGTCAGAATTATGTGCTTCTAAAAAGTCTGAGATTGGTTTGTCTTGAGGCAATAAAAAGTTTAACAAGTATAGTTAAGAAAACAGCATCAGCTTCAATGAAACTTCAAAGGGTTAGCTATTAACTAGTTAGCTAAGTGTCTGAACCTTTAACATACACTGAATTATGAAACGTAACAAAATAACATTGTTAGTTTTATATTGGCTACTTACTGTTTTGCCTCCTTTACCAATAACTCTACCAGCAGCATAGGATGGCACTTTTATATGAGCCTCAAGTTTCACTTCTTCTTTAGGTCCAAAGAAATTTTCTTCTTTAAGTTTTCCATAGATTCTCCCTTGAGCCTACAAAAATGTCTCTGGTTAAAGAGCGTGCTTATTGAGATGGAGTTCACTTCAAAAAGCTCCACTGAAAGGAGAATTTTCAATACACAACTTCACCAAAGCATTTTCCCAATCAATGCAGCAGCTTCTATTCTAAAGTCTTTGTACCAAACTAGGGAGCACTGCCGTCTAACTTTTAAAACTACATGACAGACCAGCAAATCAAGGAACGATTTAACAGATTATTATTCTACCTTTTCATAGAAACGTTGCTTTTAGAAGAAGCTATTACATCTCTGTAGTGGTAGAGAGAGGTAGAGAGAACTGTCTGGATGAAATTTGTTGGTTTTTTTTTTTTTAAATTGCACCCAGAAGCACAGAATGCCATTAATTGGCTCAGAAACTCGTTCTTTTAAGTATGCTAAACTTAAAGTCACAGGACAAAGACTTCACTTGCAATAAGCAGCTTAGTTTTTACACTCAATTACAACATATTGTTTAAAAAAAAAAAAAAAAAAAAATCAGAGCTTGCTCAATTTTCTGAAGTAGAAAATTAAATCTGTCTAGATCTAAATGGCACCATGGGAACAGTATCGCTGCAGCTAGCGCACAGTTGCCTTTTCTGGAGCATATGCAAGTGCCAGGTAGCAGAAGAAAGTCCACTGAGACTAAGCTGCTGAATCTTATTCATGTTAAAAGATGTTTCCTCATCCCCTGCCATTTGTCAGTGAATTCTTGAGAAGTAGTAACTAGATTTTCTACTCTGTCTATCCTACAGGCATCAGAAGATGAATTCTATTGAGATACTGAAGAGATGCTCTGTGAAGAAACCTCTGGCCACAAAGCCTTTCCAGTTCAGATCCTTTATCTATTCCTTTAAATCATATCCACCAGCCCTGTCACTAAGTGCAGCCACCTTGCAGTCTACCACTACAATGGAATACAAGACAATGCAGTGATCAGATAATTATGTTAAACAGTACCAAGTTCTCATTTTTTGCTTGCCCTCAAGATTAATCAAGTTCACACTACTGTAGAATGGGTAAGACAAAATACATGGCGTGACACTGGAGCTGAAAATACACAGTGTTTTTCAAGGTCAGATTCCACCTGAACAGTTTGAAAAGAATCTGCAGTACGTTGTTTTGGTCTAGGTGGGACATCCTGTCACTAAGAGGACACTAAGTGAGCATTCCAGTGGGGCAAAAGTCTGTACCAAGAAAGCCACTGAAACACCACACAAATGCAGCAAGAGACTGCATTGTGGACCATCCAACAATCTGAGAACCAGAGATTCCTGCTGCAGGAAAACTCTCCAAGCAAGTTGGTGAAGAGCAGCTCAAGTACTGCTCCAAGTCTCGAGTTGGAGATTTTGAAATTGTTTCCAAATCTGTTACATCACAAACAGTGGCAGGGCCCATTTTATTTCAACAGCTTTTCAAATGGGTAACACCTGGACAACCTGCAGACTGTTGGATGGTTTCCCAGACTGGAGGCAACATGATCCCCTCAGAGTAGTGGTATCACATGTATGCCTAAACTCTGGGGTGCACTGCAGCACAGACTGTGAACAGTGGCATATTCTCACCCTTCTTCCAGCTTCCTTGCTCACAAATACAGCCTTGCAAACTGCAACATCCTCAGGCTACAACAGCTGAGAAAGAAAGGGTGCAGCCACTGCAGCTACCACTGACATGAATCACAGGGAGCAGAACACAATGTAATAGGGTAAGGGTGCCAAACTCATAGGGCTCTGCGCTGACAAGGCCTCTCCAGGAGCTGGTTACTCATCCAAGCAGCAACCATTCCCTCTTCAAACTGCTGTGCATCCAGATTACATTCCTGTTGTGCAGCAAGCAAAAGTCTGTGCTCAGAGATGGAAAGACACCTACACAGAGCTAAAGGACAGAATTAGTGAAGCTTGAGTTTGATTTGTCTTGCTTCATGTTAAGAGCAGTAATAAAGAACTGAACTCTGCCTCTGCCCCTCCCTAGCAAGAAGAGGTTGCTCAAAGATAGTAACAGGCTATGGAGGTTGTTGCTGATGGAAGACCAGAAGGACTCTGCTCTTCTTCTCAGGACCAGCGTTCTCAGGTTCACTAGCTAATAAATCAATCCCTCTTAGCAAGCAAAAGCTTAAGTGTAGAGAAGTAACTGCTTGATAGGGTGCTGGAAGGGGAGACTTTCCTCCTTGCATGGCCTGGGTTGGGGAGAAGAGCTAGCAGCAGAGTTCTGTGGGACTCCAAGTCTACCTGAGGGGGAAAGCTTGAGGACAAGCCTTTGCCTACATGACAATCAGGATAAGGGCACCTAATCTTCAAGCATGTTAATGCTTGAGAGTAAATTCACTGATACCTCAATGGAAAGAGAAGGTAACCAGAAGTCCAACTTGTGCTGATCTCAGGTCATGAGAGCACCCTAGATGTGGATTGTGCCATGTGGGTAGGCCCCTACGAGCTCAGAACACACTTCAAGGAGGTGGAGCTTCTAAATTATTCTTTACATTTGATAGGTTTTCAAATCTATATGGTAAGAACAAACTGAATAATAATCCCAAATGCATCCAGATCTATTACCACTGTGAAATACCTGCCCTGATGTATCTCCAAAACTCCTGAAGGCATTAATCAAACTGACTCTAGATATGCCTGAAGTCTGTGCTCCTCCTACTGCAAGATGCCCTGAGGCAATAATGCGAAGACCAAAAAAAAAGCAGCAGGAGAGCCATGCCAGGACATGATCTATCAAGTGGCTTCCTACCTGTTCAGTGTCTCACCTGTGATGAAACAGAGCTGCTGTACTGAGCCATCTGCACTCCTAACAGTCACCTCCTTTTGGGGGCAATTAGACATAGCCCTCAGCACTCAAGGCAGAAGGCCACTCCATAACTCAATTTGAACACAAATAGAATAATCACATTGGAGTATCTCCATGCAATTACAGTGTAAATACGATTAGAAACTTGGTCCTTATCTGCAGAGCCACCCAAAAAACATTTTCCAGTCAACGTGCAACAGTAACCTGAAAAGGCTCGGTCTCCCGTCTTGTCAGCTTTGTTATTTCTGTTAAATATGCTGCACTGTTGTATGCATTAAGACGAGCTAGAAAGACTGAACTGCTGTGTCCATAGGTAACAAAAATAGGAATACAACATGGTCAAAAAATCAAGTCTAACATGAAAATATGTGATGTGAATCTGAAGTTGCTACTAGTGTTCAGATGACCAGAACATTGCCTCTGATGATACTGTATTACTCATGTATTCATGTGACATAATTTTCAGTAAATGGAAAGCAAAAAATCTAGTATTTGCTAGATTTCTGAGTGAAATAGTAATTAGAAACAAATGTTTCATTTTTAGTATTGGCCTTTGCAGCCTAAAGACCCCCTACATATCAACAAGTTTTTATGTAGTGTACCTTAAACTGAGCTTCTGGAGGTCCAGTGATGATAACCATTCTCAGCTTGGCATCTGGTCCTTCAGCAGGGGCAATCTGGAATGCACAAACATAGCTGTTTGGTAGCTATCTTTTGAAGGCATCATTTAAAGCCACCTCCTCCCCATTTCAGTCTCACATTCTGTTCAAGAGTGAGACATTATTCATTACTGCAGTAACATTACACTTTGGTCATGACAGCTTGCTCTCTGAAGTACATTAATTACCTGTAACGGAACGTGGAGAAATTGGCTAAACCATCAGCAAGTTTACTTCTGAAAATTAAAGGTTTCGCTATGCGGCTGCACATGGCAAAATCCCACAAGCAATTTAATGTGGCTGTGAGGCAAGACATGTAGCCTTCAATAGGAAAAATATGGTTAAGAGGCTGAAATTCTTATCCTTGCCCACTAACTTAAACAGACTTTCTGACAAGTTTTGCCCATTAGAAAGAGTTTGCAATTGTCTCCCTTAGAGCGGATGATCTCTTCACAGTTGTAACTAATCAGGTCCAAAACATTCCTCTATACTGGAAGAAGAGTTCTCAGTTTCCAAGGGCTTCGTATCTTCAGACACGTGTGTGACCCAAATAAAAATTAATCTCCACCAGAGTTGAGACAGAGGCTCTCAGGGTCTTCGGCAGTTCATGTCACCACAAAAGTAAGATTTCTGTGGGTGCTGTTCTCAGACTCCAATGGCATTAAATAATTCAAACTAGCGTCTGACATTCTGGATGAATCTTTTGTTTATCACAACTGACGTTTCCATTGTTGCGTGTAGTATTACATAGCTGCTGTTGAATGGGCAATATTTTAAACACTACAGGATTTCATCTTAGCTGTTGGCAGAGGGATGTTATTCATATTTTACAGCTGTAGTTTATTTCAGACAAATTACCAGTCACCATGCATCATTTTCGCTAAAGAATTTTGCTAACCAAAGTTTATATAATTATTCATATTGTACCCTAAGATGGAGAATACATTACATGCTAGTTATCTGGTTTGCGTACTTAGTTCACATACCACTTCTGCATTCCAGCTGGCTCTAAAAATACACATTCACTTTACAGGGGTACATTTACTGAAATGCCAACATACAGCACTGTGGGTAAGTGTGCCACAAACTAAATCCATTAATTCCATGGAACACAGAACTTTTAGAGGGATGAATTTTTAAGGCATGTTGGGTGCCAGCTGACTGAACAGAGCTCAACCTGGGGATTTCCATTCAGGCAAAATGGACATTGTAGTTTCTGCCTTTCAGTCACCACATATTTTCTTAGTGAACACCTGCTCCTTTATTGAAATTTTAAGAAAAGTGTTTTCCAGCAAGTCTTCCATTACGTCTTTGCATGTTACACATATTTAAGTGTTCTGCGACGTCTTGCTTTGCTTTCATCTTAGAATATCTTGATCCCAAGAGGTAGAGTAACACTCTATGAAAGAATCATGACCGTAACATTTCACTGTCTGGAGGTACAATCTTAGAGGCTGCAGTGTTCATTTTGACTGTCTGCTCTTGAATGGAGAGTTTATACACGTACAAATCGTACCCAAGTGGTGAATATTTAATTTCTGAGAGAAATAGCTTTACATTCCCTAACTAGGAAAAAAGCATTCTTCCACATGCTGAGTTAGGACAGACAGTTGCTTTCATACCCCCAAAATCTGTAGTGCCCATTCCAGCCCCTTCAAAGGCAGCAAGGAGGACTGTGAGAAGCATTTCTAAACAAGGAGATGCCAGTGTTCCCCAACAGATCCCAGTATTCCAGAGCAGAATGGGCAGCAAGCATTCCAGAAACCTCTGCCTGGCTCCTTGGATAAACAATTCCACCTACAGAAGTTCCATGCCGAGCCTGTATCACCAGGCAGCAGCTTCCGACACAGGAACAGAACCTGAGCTTGCCAACAGCTGCCTATGGCTCCAAAGCCATGGACTGGCACCACAGCTTTGTGCAGAGCCCCTCTGCACCTGCAGTTTATTTAGTCTTGTTCTGTGGCTAGCTAGTTTCATTAGCTCTACAAAGTTCAACACGAGCACAAAGACAACACACGTGGATGTACAATGCTTTCATATGCATCTATCTACAGTACAACTCAAAATAAGCCCAGAGCAAAGGCTTACTTCCTCCATAAACCATGGCTACCAGTTTGGACAGTTGACAGTTATTCCAGCACTCAACAGTTACTCAGTTACTAAAGTCACTCCCTCAAACTCAGCTAAAAGCACAGGCTCCTTCCTGATTATGACGTACTGCTTTGCTCAAAAGTTATGATAAAGGACTGGTGATCAACACAATGGAAGTTTTGAATAAGTCTGATTACCAGCCATCACACATAACATATTTTTCTCTATATTTTTCTCTAAGAAGCAATAGCACTGTTCCACGTTGTTTGGCCAGATCACTGTTAAAATTGTGCTTTTATTCTAATTGATAATCTTACATAGAACATCCAACTTATCAGACTTAAGGACTTTTAAGACCACCTAGTACAACCATTGGCCCATCCCAACCGTGCCCACTGACCATGTCCTTCAGTGCTACATCTACACACTTCTTCAGCACCTCCATGGACGGTGACTCCATCATCCCCCTGGGCAGCCTTTCCAGTGCCTCACCACTCTGAGAAGAAATTTTCTTCAATATCCAAACCAATTCTCTTTTGGCATAACTTGAGGCCATTAACTCTCATCCTACCACTGTTATCTGGGAGAAAGGCCTATCCCCACATCGTTGCAACCTCCTTTCAGAAGTTGAAGAGAGTGATAAGGTCTTCTCCTAGCCTCTTCTTCTCCAGACTGAACAATCCCAGCTCCCTCACTCAGCCACTCCTCATAAGAGCTGTGCTCCAGACCCTTCCCCAGCTTTGTTGCCTTTCTTCAGGTGTTATTCAGGACCTCAAATATATTAAAAGCAAAGCTTCCAAATTCAGTAAGCATATTGTGTACTCACATTGAATTCCCTCAAGATTTAATCCTATTTCCACAAAAATCTTCCTCACTTTTTTTTTTTAATGAAGGAACAGAATAAAAAAACCCTGCAGTTTTATAAACTGTTAACTGAATTTCAATTAATACAGATACATTGGGTAGAGGGGTACCAACCAGCAGAAGCAGCCTGAGGCTACTGTTAGCCAGATACATGAAAAATGCAAGGAACTCCCTCTCCACTGAACCATCTTCCAAGGACCAGCTAATGGACTGGGTTTGGACTGGTTTGGGGAAGTCCAGGGTATTTCACATCTCTCCACCTAGCAATGCCTTCCACATGTCACTTCATCAATAGATAGAAACCAGAGAGTAGGAAATTGTTGTGGTTGTGGTACACTGCATCCCCTGCAAGACAGATTTGATGAAAACACCTTGCACTTCCTTCTCCTCCACCAATCCACTGAAAACACAACTATTAATCTGTACTAATGAGAACTGTCTAGGTAGTAGAAGTATTTAACAGTGGCTTAACAACATATAGAAACAGGTAGCAAACAGGCCAGTAAATTGATCGACATTCAGCAAGCCACACACTAGGCCCACCCTGAGAGTTCCCCAGTTCCTGCACACTCAAGTAAACACCTTCCAGGAGAAGCCAAATGTCAATCTGGCAGCAGATGAAGTTACAAACAGTAACGGTATGTGGAATACTACATAATTTAGGCCAAGGCCTCATCTTTGCAGCACAGAATAGCAGAACTGACTATTTATGAGAAAAAAGCTCCAGCACCTAGAAAAGATATTTATGGTTACAATTACTAGCCAAAACAGAAGGTCTCCCAGCAACTAGTACTAACTGCACAGAGGCATCAAATACTCAGCAACTGGCTGAAGTTGAGTTACTCTTCCATGAGGTCAACCTCTGGCAACAAACTGGGGCAGCAAAGATGCAAACAGACCAGCAATAGAGCAGGGCACCACTGTGTGGTCAGCAGGCTGACCCAGGAGCTCAGGCTGTATCAGAATAAAACACAAGAGCTTCTTCAGGGTAGAGTCACCAGAGGGACCAGCACCACGTGTCCTTCCAAAGCAGAACAAGAGCAGTCACAGCAGCAGTGGGCTTCACCTGTGCTCTTGGTTTCAGAAAGGGAGTTTATCTCACCAAATTTCACTTTACTGTAAGCAAGGAGAAACCCTTTAACCACCACATCATTAAGACTTAAGTCTGTTTCTAAGAAATCAAGACCACCAAAGTAGCTTTCTTTGCAGCTTATATTTCACACCTCAGGAGACGTTTGAAAACATGCTTCTAATTATCTTGTCTCGAGGAAGATTAAAGGATGATTTATAAACAAATGTACCATTTATCACATCACATTCTAAGCACGGAGTGGGGGAGGACACGCATGAAAACACAGCTTGTGCAAACTTGCTGGAAGTGTCATAGAGAAGAGACAAAGTTAGTCAGTGTAATAATACCTTAATAGATGCGCCTGCAAAGCGAGAAAGTTGTTTGATGTGCTGTCCCTGCTTGCCAATAATAGCTCCAACTGCCAAGGCTGGGATGAACAGATGAACAGTCTCAGACTCGGGCTGTTGCTGTGGGGAAGAAGGAAATATGCAGTGAGTGTTTTTGAACATGATGAATCAGACTGACAGGAGAACTGGTATGGAACAAGCATGCATGGAAACAACGGGGAAATCTTCAATGCCCTCTGAAGTCTGGCTTTTTTTTCTTTCTGAAAATCATGGAATTCACAAGACATGAAAGAACAGTTCGAGCCAAAAGAGAATTCTTTTATCTTTTAGGAAATAGTTCCAATTCTAACGCTTTGGAGTTCTGAAAACCACCGAGCTGTTGCTTCTTCCCAAGGCATTCGTCCTTACCTGTGTCTGCCTTGGTGCTTTTCCACATGCAGACTGCAGAGAAGGCTGCTGTGAGTGAGCAGGCTGCAGCAGTGCAGCCAAACGCTTTCTAGTTTTCCTAGCGATTTTGGTTAGATTGTGCTGACGGCTGCACAAAAAGCCTCAGTGTTGCATCTATGCTACAATTTCCTTTGTGTGGGAGCGCTCTGGAATGATAGCCAGCATGAAAGCTGCCAGTGGTTCCTCCTGTGTAACGTTATGCAACAGCCGGGGTGCTGGCTGCAGGCCAGAAGCCGGCTGTGAATCCAACAAGATGAGGCGTTCCCCAAGGCTGCAGGGCCAGGCGCTGTGCCTGCAGGACCCAGCGCACCACAACTGTCGCTGCTCTCAGCCACCATACAGTGCAGTACTTGTGCTCTTCTGTATGGACTGCACAGAAGTGAGCCAACCGTAGGGCTGCACCAAGCCATCATTGCTTTACCAGCCTCAGAAGGTGCTTCTGGAGAGCTCATCTTGGGCTGGCGGAGCAGCACCAAGTGCCCACTACACTGCGGTGCCATTAAGCCAGTCGCTTACGTTGGGATTACTTCTCAAAAGCACTTCACTGTAAGACCTTTTATGAAGTAAGACGCACTTAAAATCTCCATTCACATCTCCTCAGCGCAGCCCCTTCACGTGCTTTCAAAATTTGGTCCCTTTATTCTCAGCAACAGAGAACTAAAAATCCCTTTCCCTGCAGACATACTTGCAGATGATGCGTTGGCATCACTCGGTGCCACCACACAGAGCACCGTGCTCCTAGAGCTCTGCAGCTCCTGGTAGCAGTGCAGGCCCACATGTAGAAGCACCAAAGCAGCTTTTCCTGTGATACTTTAAAAAGAAGACATGCTGTATGCAACACAGAGCAAAAAGCAGCTGCAATCCAAAAAATAAACCAAAGAAGCAAGACATCTCAACTTGTTTTTAAGTATCCCAGTCCTTCTTTCAAGGGGAAGTACTGCTCCAGTGCACTGACTGTAAATAAATCAGAACAAAATGCTTGTTTCCAAGTTCTACCACTTCATTTTGGTAAACACGAATCAATTGTAAGCTCAGGGGAGAAAATTCCAGGCATAGCTCCACGCACCAGGTGAAGAAACCCCAAAATAAGATATTTAGACCAGAAACACATTCTGCCAGTTGCTCTGGGTGATTGCAACTGTTACACAACTGACCCCATGTTTCACACCTACAAGGACCTGCAGGCAATTTGCGCTGCTTTAAGGCCATGTTTTCCTCTGGACACCAGTTCCAGCCTTCTGGACCCATCGCCCTGTGGGCCAGTGGGGCTGCAGCTGGTTTGTGACAGCAGCCAAGGATCCTTGACCCGGATAATCACAGAGCCACACAATAGCAGCCCTGCAACAAGGGAGGAAGCAACTGCAATTAGGCCAAAGCATGGGAAAAGGTAGGGACAGCCCTTTTAATCTGCTTCGATATTGGTTTGAAACTATCTTGGAGACTACACCCTGAAACTTCGTATCTGTATGAAAGGTACCAGTCACTACAGTATGTTAAAACCGCTTTGTAGGAGATTACTCATTTTTTCCTCTTATTATTACAAACATCCTGTGAGCATACTCACAGTAAGTCCCTTTTATGTGTTCATCATGAATCCAGCAAGATTTCCAGTAATTCCAAAATGCCACTGTAGATACTTGGTTGATGTCGTTGCTTTGGAAAACTGATCCTACGTGGATACAAATTAGTGAGACGTTTGCTTCCCCAGTTATGTTGCAAGACCCACAGTAGCTGCACTGGGTACACAGACTCTTTCCAACCAAAATCCAGAAAACCTTGCTGCTCATTGCAGTGATTGCTGCCTTCAATCACCTACACATCAGCTCCTGCAGAAGTCCCACCAAACTTTTCTCCCCCACATGCAACTCCAGCCATCATCCTCTAGCTAGACTTGAACTAATTCATACAATATTGCTTATAGTAACTTGATTGGGCATCAAGAACCTGCCTCAATCCAACTCCAGACACATTTCTCTACCATACAAGCAGGTCAAACTCCTTTACTTTTGTTTGCAGATGATTCCTATCTTCTCTCTGTTGCCCATCTGCCTGCAGCAGTTTTCCTCTTGTCTTCCCAAAGCTTGATTTTGAGCCACTCTCTTGGCTAGATTCAATTCACCATGGAAATTCCTTTCTGCTGCCTCACCCTTCAACACAGGTAAAGGCAGACAGGAGACCTGCACGTTCTGTTCCAACTCTACAGCAGCTCACTATAGCTCTTGCCCCCTCTGTCCATCCTTCCGATTTTGACTTACTGATATTTGTTCATTCTGTGACGTTCCTTAATGTTAAAATTCCATTTTGATGTAATGCAGTATATTTTTATTAGGGAACAGACGATAAATTGCCCTTACTGAATTGATTACATCTCATCATTTTCCACTTTTCTTTTTGCAGAACACCTATGTATAACCAAATTCATCTCCAGTACAACAATGTAGGAATTTGGGAAATTATGTCCACTTCTCCACCCACACTGACTTTTAACCAGTCAAAAGAAATCATTTGATATTTTTCAAAGCACAAACATCAAAAACAGCCGCTCTTTCTTTTTCTTCTGGCAGAAATCAAGTATAGCAAAAGCTTTCAAGAGAATATCGTAACACCAAGTTCTATTTATTATCTGTCCACCTCCTTACCCACAATATTTTAAAAATCCTTTTATATATACTGGAAGACTGTCCTCCAAAATAAACACATCGAAATGTAATGCAATGACTATACCACCCATCAATCTCACAGATGCTTTAGGGGATCTTAGGAGGGAAGAAAATCAACTATAATTTAATCTTCTCCATGCCACACCACATCAGTCATGTAGCTTTCCAGGAACTTCCAGCATGAGTTATATCTGAAATACATTCCTAGATCTTAAACATATGTTAGAAGCACTAAATTTAGGGAGCTCAATTCCCATCATGTGGAATCTAAGCTTCAACATTCACTCTTACAACAAGGCCAAAGGAATCTTACTTAAATATATAGTTAGAATTTAAGAAATAGATAAATATATATGTGTATAGAGAGAAGAGAATAACGTCCACTTGGACGCATTCCACGCTTCATTTTTTCTTATAATTGTTTCTCTGAAATAGAAGTGCTGTTAAAGAGATGATTTCAAGGCTGTTTGAACAGGGGGAAAAGATGCCTTTTCAGGTCATGTTTGTTGGGCTTTAACAGCAGAGGCAGCACTGCTGAGTTCACTAATATTTACAGCAAAATTACAACTTCCCCTTACACTTTCATAGGCTCCTTAGGGAAAGATGAATCAGTTTTAGTTTTAAAGGCACGTTATTCTTCTCAAAGATAGTTAACTGGCAATACGTTGTCTTCATTACATTTAATTTTAAGGGCATTTACTGTACAACTATAAATTTTAATGTTTAAAAAGCATTCTTATTGAAGTAGTAAAGTTTATTAATTGTGGAATCAGTAGTAGTAGGTCATCAGTAGTAGGCTGTGGTTTTTACAACAGAAAGGTCTTCTTCACATGGAGACCCACGGAGCCTCTCTGCACCCTGTTCACTGTATTTTCCCCCACATAACAAAACAGCTTGTCTAAGGCCAGCCTGGGAACCGAGTGCAGGAGAAAACTTTTTACACAGAAATATGGAAAAACAACTGTTATAAAATATTAACCCACGCTATCCAAGACTTATGGTTCACACATCCACCTTAGCTTCCAAAGTAACTGTCTCAGACTTTCTTCTGCTCTACCATTGTTTGCTGGATGGGCTCAGGGCTTCCTAACCTTGATCAGGTCCAAATAACACCAGATAAGCTGAGAAGAGGGAAGGAAAAATGGGGGTAGGAGATAGGATTTGACATGGACTTTGTTCACTACTGTTACATGATTAGATATCAGCTGTTGGTCTGCGTTGGTCAGCTTGCGCTGGGTTTGACCTGCAGGCTTCCTGCCTGCATACATCTGAAAAATACAAACGTGGGGAGGGAGTTATTTCTCAGGTAGGTGGGGCATACAGGCACCACTGGGATGTTCACTCAGAGAGCTCAGTTTCTTTGAATAAAAAAAATAAAGAACACCTCCAGAAACTGAGATGTCTTAGTTCTAGGAAACAGTTTTTTGAGGAGCATGATGACCAAAAACAATTCAGTTCATAAACAGATGATACTGCTTGCTTTGTTGCTACAAAAATCAGTACGCTTTAAAGACGAAACAGATTTGATAAGCTTTTTTTTTTTTTCTATCTAGCACAATTAACTAATGAAAACAATTTTAAATGCTATTTTTGTTTATTAATTGGATTTCAATTGCCATCAAAAAGTAGCCTGATGGAAATCGGAACTTAAGATTTAATCAAGCAAATAAGAAAAGCACCATTCCTTTAAGAGAAAGTCACACACACAGAAAAACAGAAAATAGAGAAAACATTGTCTACACCAAACAGTGAACTAAGCAGTCATTCAAATAAGTCTACCTATTCAGTATGAATGAAGAGCAGTTGTAGTGTTACAGACCTTCAGAAATGTAACTAAATTCAGATGTAAAATGAGATGCTGACTTAAATCCTATTTGTTGCTTGCTCATTTAAATAATGACTGAAAACATGATCCACCACAGAGATGTGAATTAACCCACACCTCTGGATGAAGCTAAACAACCACTTCTGCATGCCAGTAAGCAACAATTTTAGAGCAGCTTGGAAACACCT